TGTGTGTGTGTGTGTGTGTGTGAGAGAGAGAGAGAGAGAGAGAGAGAGAGAGAGAGAAAGAGAGAGAGACAGACAGACAGACAGATAGACAGAGGAGAGACAGAGAGAGACAGAATCAGATGGAAAGACACTATCCAGCCTGAAGCTGCATATCCTGTGCCTCAGCCTGTGGCCAGCCTCCAGGAGCTGCTTGGCCGTCTTGAAAGGCTTTTTATGAAAGCTTTCATGAGAGCAGGTTGTTGCTTACTTTGAAAGTCCTGCTGCCTGTGGACAGTAATAAGATCACACGCTTGGTGCTATGTTTACATTGTTTTTTTTTTTTGAAAAAACATATAGCACTTTATTATCAGTACGGTGATGAGGGGCAGGTCTTCAAGGGGCAGGAGTGGGTCCTGACAGCAGGGAGGCAGCCCCTACCTGTCAGCGATGAGCAGGTTCCCCAGCACCACGATGACCGAGTCCCCACGCAGGAACATCTTGGAGATGTAGCGGTCCTTGTTGACCAGCTTGGACTTCTTCTTGCCCTTGCCATTCTTGGGGACCTCAGTCCACATCTCTTTTCATGTTCTCCAGCACCATGTTGCAATGCCTGTCAAAGGCCTTCACCCAGCCTAGGAGTTTCTTTTTGTTGCGGCAGTTGATGAGCACCTGGGTGTTGTTCTTGACTGACTGGGTCAGCACAGAAAGTGGACACGTGTTAAATTCCTCCTCTTCCCGCTTTCACAGCTCCTCTGGGGTCATCTCACTCTTGGGCTTGTTGGGGAGGCTCCTGGTGGCAGCTGCCACCTCTGCGTTACTCTCCCACATTCTGTTCTGCGGGGAGTTGTTTATCACAGAGAGCTGCTTTCCACATGCTGCACTCACTGCCTGGGTGAGTGTCCGGGGGCTCAGAGGGCTTTAAAATGCAGACCATTTGCCTCCTGGCCATATGCCTCCCTCTGCATTTACTGAGTCCCTACTGTGTGTTGTACCCTGTGCCATGTGGTCAGAAGTTAGGAACAGTTACCTAAGATGTGGTTGTCCCCTCAGTAGTTCACACTGTCCCACTGAAAGTTTCAGTTTTCCTTTGAAGATCTGGAAAGCACCATGACCTCAGATACTGCTTAGGAAGTCCAGTGGCATTAGAGGAACTGGCAGTGCTGTCCATGGCTGAACTGCCCTGGAGGCTCCGAAACAGGAGACTGCTCCTCTGTGCCCCACTGCAGGCCCTTGGAAGCAAGCCTTGGCCAGTCCTTTTGTAACCTCTCATGTGGGCCTTCTCTGGTTTGTGAGATGTCACTAGGTCCAGGCCATACTCATTGGGTGTACCAAGGCAAGGGTGCGGTAATGGGAGCTACCTGGTGGGCTGCCTGAGGTCTATGTTGGGAATCGACCTTCAGCACTGGTGACAAATACGATTTTAGGTGTCCCGCTATTCTTTCTGTCCATCAGCACTTTGCCCAGTGACATAGCAGTCGTGTACAGGGTGGGTCTAACTCCTGTTTTTCAACCTGAACAGGTAGAATTCTTTGAGCCCTTCTGGGACAGTGGAGAGCCAAGACCTGGGGAGAAGGGCGCCCGTGGCTGGCGTGCATGGGTGCACCAGCAGGAGCGCGGTGGCTGGGTGGTCGTCAGCCCAGGTGAGGACGGGTCTGCCTCTCTCAGCCTGACTTTGTTTTTACATATATATGATTATCTGAGTAAGCAGTTTGTCAGTAGCTTAAGAACACTGTACAGGCATCAAAAGGTTTAAAGAAAACATTAAGTATATTTCATGGGAGAAAAGGGCATTTTTCTCTTTAGAGACTTTAAAGCACTCAACATCCTGTTTGTTTGGTACATAGGACTCTAAAGATTTGAGTTTCCAGAGGAAGAAATGTATTTCTTCTCTAAATTGCTTCTGAGGAAGCAAGCTTGTTGCCAGCCTCCCTACCTGCTATTCCTTTTATTATACATGTAAGACAGTCTTTTTGTTCTTCTCACAAAGTGCAGACCAACCAATCCTTTGAAAAATACTTGTGTTTTTAGGGATGTTGCAAAATACTTATTAACTAGCATTTGTATAACTGCCATTCCACATGACCCCAAGGTGCCGTGTAGATTTACACCCGAGCTGTCCACTTGAAATATAATGCGAGCTACATGTGTGGCTTCAAATCTTCTTGTAGCTACATTAAAAAAGTAAAAAGGAGCTGGCCACAGTAGGGGCACAGCTGTAATCCCAGCACTCTGCGGGACTGAGGCAGACTCGGGACAGGACCGTCCACTGCGAAGGCAGCCTAGTGGAACTTGCTCGAGAGCCGTGCTGTGTGTACAGAGGCTGCGCTCTTCTGTGTTCCCTCTGCCAGCGCACAGTGGTTCACCAGCTTCGCGTACTCAGGACGCGCATATCCTCTGTGCCTTTTTGAGAGTTCTACCACTGAACCGCCCATGCATCTCTGTAACTTCTTTTTTTAAAAAATTCTATCTATCTATCTATCTATCTATCTATCTATCTATCTATCTATCTATCTGTGTGTGTATTTGTGTGTGTGTGTGTGGCCAGCTCAGCCCACCAGGGGGCAGGGCTGGCTGGCGTGTGGTGCTGGGGGATTGAACCGCGGTCCCTGTGCTCTGCTAAGCTTGTTCTAAGTAGGTGCTTTAGACCACTGAGCCATCTCACCAGCCCCTCTGTAACTTTTTGAGATGGATTTTAATTCCACTCAGCACAAGGTTCTTTAGATACATAAAAGAATTGTTGCATGCCTTAATAATTTATTCATTTTATTATAGAATAGTAGTCCATTATATAGCTGTGTCGCAGTGCCTTTAACTGTCTACTGTAGGACATTTAGGCTGTTATGAATAAAGTTGCTATAAGCAGTAGTATATACATTTGGGGGTAAATGTTAAGTTTTGATTTTTCTGGGCTCAGTGTCCCAGAGCACAGTTCTGGTTAAGTGAATGTTTAGTTTTACGAGAACCTGCCAAGCTTGTTCCTGTGTGGCTGTGTCATTTTATAACTAATTATAAGTTTTTTTTTTTAATTGACTAAAAATTTTGATGGCTTAAGGAAATCTAAGTCAAAGTAGTTATTAAATGGTATTTGGCATCCTAAAACTGGTCCAAAACAGTAACATTTAGTTACATGTTCTTTATAATTAAATGAAATTAAGAATTCAGTTCCTTTATTGGTTACAGTTTAAGTACCCTGTAAACCACGTGTAGCTGGTGGCTGTGGTATTAACATAGATAAAGAACATTTTCATTATTACAGAAAGTGCTCTGGGGCAGTGCTTTTCTACAATATGTGTCATTCCCATTTTTTGCTGTGACAGCACTAAAGGTTATCTGGTTCCATCCCCTTATCTGCCTGTTTCCTGGGACCATCTCTGCCTACAGCCAAGTCCTTCAGTGCCATTGAGTGCCTGGCAGGCTGACCTGACCCGACCGCCTCCGCGGACTGGGTGCCCACATGATACCAAGTGCAGCGGGTTGCTTGGACGGTGATGGTGGCTTTGTGTACTGCTTAGGTAAATTAGAAGTTGCATTCTTGGTGTAGATGAGGACGGTGATGAGCCAGAAGAGGAGGAACAGGAGATGAGCGACAAGACCCTTCCCAGGTGGCGGATCTGGCTTGCTGCCGAGCGTTCCCGAGACCAGAGGCACTGGCGGCCCTGGCGCCCTGATAGGACGAAGAAGCAAGCTGAAGACGACTGTGAGGACCCTGAGCGACAGGCAGGTACCCCCACCTCGGAAGGATGCTGACCGCGGGGTCTGTACCTCCTCTCGCTTCCCTTGTGTCTGCTTCTCTGAAAGAAGGTTGTGGGGCTTTCCAGGTGCTTGGCTGGCTCAGGAGATGCTCACCCATTCCTGTTCAGGTCTGGGGAATTGTCCCTCCCACCCAACATTGGGACAGAACTTCACTGGTACTCAAATGAGACAGCATATCGGTGCTTGACTGGGTGTTTCCTGTCCCCTAGTAGGAGGTAGCTCCTGTGGGCATCTCTGGAGAGTGCCTTCCTCGTTCATTTTCATGAAGAACCCTGTGGCTTAGCTTCTAAAAATTCCAGTCACTGACCTAGGTGCCCCAATTGTGTTCCCTCTCCACCTCCCTGTTGGAGATGTGGCAGCCAGATTTGACCCAGGAACATGAGAGTGCCATGCCTGTGGGGACAGTGTGCACCTAGCTGGTCTTGCCGGAGGTGTTGGAGTTGGCTGGGTGCCTGCCGGGGGCACTCCTTTTATGCAGCACGGCCCACCACTGTTGTCACGTGGCTTTGTACTTGGAGCTCTGTCAGTGGCCAGCAGCTTGAGAGGCTTTAGATTGCAGCGAAGGGAAACGTGCTATTTTGGTGCCTAGAAATGATCTGGTGTCACGAGGCCCCAGTCTTGCCACTTGAGCTTCTCTCAGTGGCGAGGCTCCGTGCCCCTTCCTGCATGGGAAGCTCCTGGGCAGGGATGTTGCTTCTCTTGGGCACCAGTACCTAGAACAGTGTCTGCCCCTGCTGAGTGCTCAGGGAATGGTCTTGGATGTTGCTGGGGTATCTGGTGCTGGAATGTGAAGCTTCAGAGTGCCAACAACATCTGAGGGGTGAGGAGTTGCTGGCCACACTTGATGGGACACACTGCACGGGGACAGAGATGGTCTCTGGGCGGGAAGGAGGAGCTAGCTTCTTCAGAGACCCCACACTGGCCTGCTGCAGGCGTGAGCCTGCCGGGGAGGCCCCTTTCCTGACTACGTTGAATGTTTAGAAGAGAATGGGATCTCGGACCATCCATCCATCTGTCCGTCTGTCCGTTCCTCTTTCCCTCCCTCATCCTTCCCTTCCTCCTTCCCTTCCTCCTTCCCTCAACCTCTCCCCTCCCCCCTCTTTTTCTTTGTGTTTGATTTATAGAGTTCAAGTGAGCCTTGGAATATTGCTTCTCAGGTCCAGAATTTTCCCTGTCTTCTAAAAACTGATTTCTGGAACCAACTGCTGCTCGGAGCAGTTTCTTGTCATTTAAGATTTTTCTCTAATCAAAGCCCAAAGGGGAAAAGCTTTCTGCTTAATTGATGATGAGATGTGTTGAGTCCCAGGTAGTCCAGTTTTACTGTGCTTACTTACTGCGCTTTGATTTTCTCATGCTGAGAGCTGTAGAGGCTGATCAGGCGAGTAGCACCTTGAGACGTGTGTGGTATCTGCATTCTGGGTTCTAGATTTTAAAAGTTACATGAAATTGGCTATAAATAGTTAGTTTTAGGCTTTTAAAATGGCCCTACCTCCAGGTGTGCTGGGCCAGCCATGAGACCAGGTGTGGTGGTGGTGCATGCTTGTAATTCCAGCACTGGGGAGGCTGAGAACAGGAGGATCACTAGGAGTCCAAGCTGCATAGTGAGACTCTGTACCAAATACATAAAATAAAATAAAATAACTTTTAATGTGGTCCATTGGTCTTGTTTCCTTCCTATCTTAGAGCAGTTTTAATTCCTTAAGTAAATGGTACAAAGAAACCACACTTAATTTTTCTATTCTAAAAGAAAATTCACAGCTAAAATTTGTTAAATAACCATAAAAGTACTTACGTCTGCTTGTTGAGGTGAGCACAGCTCTAGATCTCTTATGAATCCAGCAGGGTGGTTTGAAAGCTGCTGGCCTCAGTCCGTCGCTGCCTTCCCTGCTTCCCTGTGCTCCCTGGTGCGAGAGTGCTGTGACATCCCAGGGCTCCGGGGAGTTCTCTGGCTGTCTGGGTTGCCTCAGGAAGCCTTATTTTGCAGAAAACTTAGCTCTGTCCACTTAAAATAAATTTGAATAATGTTGCCTCATTAGTACAGTGCCCCTCAGTTCATGAGCTCAGTCTCTCCAGTTCTGGCCACAGACTGCCCGAACGAGCACTGAATTAAGTTTCCCCATTAGGGCAGTGTTGAACCTAGGCACTGAATTTGACTTGGTTCCCGTCCAACTCAGTTTGTGACCAGGGTCCTGGGAAGAATCAGGTTTGTGAACCGAGGCAGCACTGTGCATCCGTAGAAAAAGAACTGTGAAGGAAGAATGTGTTTTGAGTAGGTCTGCACTTTGCCTTCGTTACAGGTATTGTTTGACGACATTGGACAGTCACTGATCAGACTGGCCAGCGAAGCCCTCCGGTTCCAGCTGATTGAGGCCTTTTTGCAGTTCTTGGGTGTGCCCTCTGGCTTCATCCCTCCAGCCTCCTGCCTTTACCTGGCCATGGATGAGAACAGCATCTTTGATAACAGACTTTATGAGGAAAAGCCCTTGACTTTTTTCAGCCCTTCATTTTCTGGTGTCAGCTGTGTTGGCCACCTGGAGCAGTTGGGCTGTCCTCGCTGGGCCAGGGGTCACGATCGAGAAGGCGAGGAGTTCATCCGCAACATCTTCCACCTTGTGATGCCTTTATTTTCAGGCAAGCAAAAGTCTCAGCTCTGCTTCTCCTGGTTACGGTATGAGATTGCAAAGGTAACTGCAGCTGCCCCCTCCCCGTCTGTGTGTTGGGGGCCTTTTCATTCCTCTTCGGTGCTCCAGATGGGATGGCAGGGCTCCAGCTGCTTCTCTGGAATCTGTGCCACAGTGCCTCCTCCTTCAGTGACTCCCAAAGGCAGCTATCTGTGGCTGCCCCTTGGAGGGGCCTCAGGGAAGAGGAGGAAGGCAGGGAGCCCATTCGGCTGCACTCGGTGGCCAGAGCTGCCTGCTGGGTGGAGTCTTGTCTTCCCAGATGCCTGTGATGATATGGGTAGTTGCTGTTAAGAACCAGCATAGGCTTAAGCAGGGTTAGAGGATTTAGAGGCTTATTAGAATAGATGAAATAAGCTACTTACTTATCCTGTGCTTTATAGCTCTCAGCTGAAAAATTAGTTTCCATCCACTGTTCTGCCCTCTGATGGCTACGTGTAGTATTGACTCTTAATACTCAAAAGTTCTAAAGCTAACCACAGCTTCATGCTGCAGGTTGTATAAACAGTGTGTGTGATAACATGTGGCAGCCATATTTCCTTGGAAAGAACATTTGCAGTGTACTGGCCTTGATTGTGGGGATAACCTGCGGGTGTTAGCGCTGGAGCACCTGTAGCCTCGGTCAAATCCTGATTTTCTTCCCAGCTCAGAGCACATAGGTGTTTACCAAATACATGATGAAGGATTCATAGAAGACTTTGTACTATCAGTGCTTTCTTAAGGGAAGGTCCAAGGAGAGTGCTTAAAATATATAGAGCACGTGGAATCACGCTTTTTCTTTTACCTGTAGGTCATTTGGTGTCTGCACACTAAAAATAAGAAGAGATTAAAGTCACAGGGGAAGAACTGCAAAAAACTAGCCAAGAATCTCCTTAAGGAGCCAGAAAACCGCAATAATTTTTGCCTCTGGAAGCAGTATGCACATCTGGAGTGGTTACTCGGCAACATAGAGGACTCCAGGAAAGTGTTCGATACCGCAGTCAGCATGGCAGGCAGCAGTGAGCTGAAGGACCGCGAGCTCTGCGAGCTCAGTCTGCTCTACGCCGAGCTGGAGGTGGAGCTGTTGCAGGACTTGAGAGGGGCTGCCGCGGGCCGGGCTGTTCACATTCTCACCAAACTGACGGAGAGCAGCTCCTATGGCCCCTACACTGGGCAGGTCTCGGGCACTCAGGTTTTGAAAGCTCGCAAGGCCTATGAGCATGCGCTGCAGGACTGTCTGGGTGAGAACTGTGTCTCCGGGCCGGCGGCTACCGATTCCTTGGACTGCCTGAGTAGCTTGGTTAAATGCTTCATGCTCTTCCAGTATTTGACTGTAGGGATCGATGCTGCTGTACGGATATATGAGCAGCTTTTCATCAAACTAAAGGGCTCTGTTGTCCCAGAAGGCCCTGGCCTGGAGGACAGTGCCAGCTCCCAAAGTTTGACCAGTGTGCTTGAAGCCATCACCCTGATGCACACAAGTCTGCTGAGATTCCACATGAAAGTTACTGCTTATCCTCTCACTCCACTGCGTGAGGCGCTCTCGGAGGCTTTAAAACTGTATCCAGGCAACCAGGTTCTTTGGTGGTCATATGTACAGATTCAAAATAAGTCCCACAGTGCCAGCAAGACCAGAAGGTTTTTTGATGCCCTCACCAGGTCTGCCAAACAGTTGGAGCCTTGGTTGTTTGCAATTGAAGCTGAGAGAATGAGGAAAAGACTGGTGGAAACTGTTCAGAGGTAAAGATGGGCTGTCTTCTTCATGTGTGTCACAGAGCACTGTGGGGCTGCTTGGTGTGTTCTGGCCCCCCGTGCCAGGTTCCAGGAATGCAGACGTGGGCATGGCACGGGCCCAGAATGCCTGCTGAGGTGTTCCTGGTGTGGGAGAGTAAAGTATTGGGATAGCACAAGGTATTTGGAAAGTAGCAGCATCTTTCATCGGGCTGTGGCCCTGGCTCGCTGGGCCTGGCTTTTGAGAGCCCACATGCTGCTCAAGTTTGCATCTGGCTGGCTGGAAGTGCCTGAGAAGATGTAGTGGGAAGATCATGGCTTGAACATACAGGCTGTGAGGTCACCTCTGATTCCTGGATGGCTGAGTGAACTCAGGCAGATCGCTTCACTTCTCCAACAGTTCCTCTTCCCTTGAATGGGGATCATCAAAGAAGCTACCTATGAGGTAGCCCTAATCAGTGAGGGAAGCGCGCAGGAATTGCCACCTTCTGTATGACCACTGAGGTGCCATCTTTGAACACAGTGTGTTATGTCTAAGATGAAACAGTAGTCTTGGGCACGTACTAGCTCAGGCATTGTTGTTCCTCCTGGAGTTTTTACTGTTGCTTCATTCTGTCCTTAAATATTAGGAAAAATTGCATTTAAATAGCATTTCAGGGGCCAGGGAGATGGCTCAGTAGGATAAGTGCTTGACTGGCAAATGCAAGGATCTGAGTTCAATCCCCGGTTCCGGAAAAAAAAAAAAAAATAGCATTTCATTATTTGTTTGTGTTTTATCTCTTCCACTGGGATTTTATTTGCTCCACGAATGTTCTCTTGTCTTTGTTAAAGTGAAGTCTTTCCCTCCCAGAGAACAGATTCTAACTTGAGGGTAGGTGTCTTTAGAAAACAGAGAAGCAGAGCGTGTGGCTTTTAGGCAGATTCAGTGTATAGAAAGCCTAGAACCTGGCCGCTGCTGCCTTCTGGCCTTGGAGAAGCCCCGTCCCACGTGCCCTGGGTGGCCACGATCACACTGAAGGGCAGACTTCTCAACACACTCTGATCCAGCTGCTGCTCCCTTCCCTGCAATAATGCAGGGGAGAGCGCTTGACCAAGAGTGACGTGAGTTCTTGCTTTGCAGGGTAGATGGCCAGGAGATCAATGCCACATTCCCCGAGACCGGCTTAACACATCGAATCAGAGCCCTGTTTGAAAATGCAATGCGGAGTGACAGCGGCAGCCAGTGCCCCTTACTGTGGAGGATGTATTTGAATTTCCTGGTAAGAAGCATTAGACCTTCTGTTTTTGTTTTGACAGAATTCTGTTTTTTTCTGCTTGAGTGAGAAAGTGTAGGTATCGTTAGCTGGTGCCTGAAAAGTGGGAGGCTTTGTTGCCACTGTCACACTCTCTTGGCTTTGGGTTGTCCCCCTGGTGGGGTCACATCAGTTCTCAGGACTTGGGAAGGGCTTGCAGGTTGCCGATTTATTCAAGATACTTGGTGGAATGCAACTGCAGTGTAATTATGGGACCATTTGGTGCAGTAGAATTTTAATGTCAGTTTTTCTTCATTGACTTCATTAAGTCACCAACTTGGAAGATGGCCTAAGAGCTCTCACTGGACTGAAACCAGGTTCTTTGCTATTCTCACAGGATTTTCCTGATCCTGATTCTGTTTTGTTATTAAAAGGTGAGATTCAACCCAGGGCATGGCTTTTCCAAAGCAGCTTTGTGGTTCACTGAGAAGCACTGGGGTGATTGAGTATGGTGAGGCCTCCTCTGTAGTTCTGGGAGCGTCAAGTGTGCAGGCTGAACTCTGGTTTTTCAACTTAACAGGCTGTGACTTGGCATTGTGGCCTTGGGTTAAAGGCCTGGCCTGGCAAGGACAGCTCCACTGTGCCACAGTAATACTGTACAGCTGCTTCCAACTTGCGTGCTGTTTTGGAAACCACAGTCTTCTAGGCTTCTTCCTTGTTTCAGTTCAAGGCTACTTTGTCATATCATTGTGACTTCCCATGAATGTTGTACCTTTCAGAAGCCAGGCTTTACCTTTCTTACTTGTAAATCTTACTGTGTATGTCTAATTATTCCTGGAAGGCAAATTATCAAAATATGAAAGGTTTTAAACATTTGCATTTGACATATAATAAAGCTCTGTGCCCTCCACCGTCTCTTGCATGGGGGTTGGAGGATACACCCAGGTGGATGTGCATTGGAAAGGTGAGCGCGTTCAGGAAGTTGCATCGGAAGTGAATTATCATAAAAGTTTGTCTGTTCCTCCTGTGTGAAATGGATGCTCTAGGGCTATGCGCTGGTGTGGGGTCCCTGGCCCCGCTCAGAACATGGTATGGTATGGCAGCCAGGAGGACAGGGCTTCAGGTCCACCTCTCCCTGATTTGTCCAGCAGTGACAGTTAAGGTTTCTATGCAAAAGGGGAGAGCTTGCAAATTTGCCAGCTTAACTTCCCAAGTTTTTGATAGGTAGAGATAGGGTAAGGTACAGATTTACAGTATTCATACCATAGCCAGGTTGGGGGGAGTTGTAGACAAAAGAGTGCTCTTGACTTGGGGGAGAAAAGATCTGGGCCTTATACATTTCCTTTTTTTTTTTTTAAAATTTTTTTTTTTAACATTTTTTTTTTGTGTGTGTGTGTGTGTGTGTGTGTGTGTGTGTGTGTGTCCAGCTCAGCCCACCAGGGGGCGCGGCTGGCTGGCATGTGGTGCTGGGGGATTGAACCGCGGTCCCTGTGCTTTGCCAAGCTTGTTCCAAGTGGGTGCTTTAGACCACTGAGCCATCTCTCCAGCCTCTACATTTCCTTTTTTTTTTTTTTTTTTTTTTTGGCGGAACCAGGGATTGAACTCAGGCCCTTGCACTTGCCAGGGAAGCACTTAGTCCACTGAGCCATTTCCCTGGCCCCCTTGTATTTTCTTTTTGAAAGAGTGTTGAAACTAAGGATTAATTATCACCTTGAATTTGTCTAATATATCCTCAGGAATCTGGTGGGCTCCCAGCACTTTGTTAATTAAACACAGTGACAAAATCAGAGTAGGCCCAAGGGCACAGTGCAGGCAGCAGAGAAGACCTGCCTAAGGAACGTCCTTCCTGCTTCTGAGTTCGTGCCTTCCCACGCACAGATACACAGCTTGCAGGCAAGCTTGCTCGTGTGTCTGCTTTTGTTTCTGCAGAAATGATTGAGGGATTGAACTTTAGCGTTGGTTCTGGTAAATATAGGGAGAAAAAGGAATTGGCCAAACAGCAGTTAAAACTTTCTACTAAAGTTGGAATTTAGCACATTAAAACCTTGGTTTTAGGTGAAACCTTCTGGAACATATATCAACATTTATAAGCTCTTTCTTTCTTTTTTTAAGATTCTGTCATGCTAAGTGGTCTAGGCTGGCCTTGAACTTGTAATCATCCTGCTTTTAGCCCCCTGAGTAGGTGAGATTGCAGACATGTACCAGCATGCCTGGCTTTCGGGTAGACTTTTTTGTTATTTTGGCTAAATTGCACTGGCTTTCAAGATTCTTGAGTCATGTACATATAGAAGAAAGAAGGATATTTAAGTAGATAGGTTAGTCAGCTAATTTTGGGGGGACTGGTGAAAGAAAAGAGGAAGTGGGCAGTGGTGTGTTTACACTGTTAATCCCTCCAGTGTAGTTTCTGTGCCATCCTGGGGACAGCAGAGATTAGCCATGTTAAAAAGCCACCATCTGCAAGGGCCGGTGGGAGGAAAAGCGTCTTCAGCGGCCTGCGTGGGTGAGTGAATGAAGTTCCCGAAGGGGCACATGCCTGTAATCCCAGCTCTGTGGGCCGCTGATGAAGGAAGATTGCATGTTCAGGCCTGAGCAGTTTAGCGACTCAGAGGCACCCTGTCTCAGAATAAAACCTATGAAGGGCCAGGGCTGTAACTCAGTGGGAAGCCTGGGTTCAGTCTCTAGTACAACAAAACATAAAACAAAACTTCTCTTGTCAGTTTTACCTTAGAAAGATTAACAGGTGTAACAGGGAGGTATCTTTTTTTAATTTATTTTTTATTTTTGGGAGGCGTCTTTTTAAAGTTTTATCTTTTTTATTTAAGAAGACTGGATCTCTGTTTTGTTTAATTGCTTTTAAAAATTTCATGAGCGAGATAAGGAAAGAGAATCAAATTTTGCAGAAGCCCGAAGACCTTAGCTTCTCGTCTTAGACATGTTGCTTCCCTCATCTGGAAGCGGCTCACATCAGATAGAAGGCACAGAATGCCGAAGCAAGTGGTGACTGAGCTCTTGGGAGAGACTTGAAGCTGGGATGTGAACTCGGATGTGCTGCTGAGGCTGGCCCAGTGGGGGCCACCATGCCACAGCTCCATGGCCCCTGTGTGGCCTGGGGTAGGGGGACTTGCTGGTGCCCAGCACAGCCCAGGTGTGACTCGGCCCTGCCACCTGCCACGGGCCTCACTCACGTGGTGTGCATGAGTCTCAGGTTCTGGGCCTCTGAGTGAGCCACCCTTCTCACCCCCCAGGAGACGGTGCCTGGAGGAATCAGGCTCACTTGGAGGCAGTAACAGTGTGACCAAGCCAAGCCATTCTGCCAGGCATGCAGTGTCCTGCACAGTTACGAGCACATTTTACAAGAGATTGAGAGTGGAGGTGGGAGGCCCACATCTCAGCTGTACCTCCTGCGGGTGGGGCTTGGGACGTGTAGGGGTTGAAGCAGCCCTGTGGCCTAAGGCCTGCAGAGAAGTGATGGAGGCGGTCAGTGGTCAGTGCCTATGCGATCAAACTACCTGGCTCTTCACGGGCCCCATGCGCAGAAAAGATGGCATGCAATCTGGGGGTGGAGTTTTGAACCCTCTGACCTCAAGAAGTCACTCATCATACACCTGTGCAGGCTTCAGTGAAGTTAGTGGTTTGAGGTCCCTAAAAATTAATTAACGCTTCCATTATCATCCTAACCCATTTCACAGACTTGTTACCTACAGCAGAGCTAACGGGGATTAATAATGTGTTCCACAACCTGCTGGGTTAGTAATTTTTAAAGCCAATTGAAGCTGGGGAAATAGCTCCGTGGCATAAGTGCCTGCCTGGCAAGCACAAGGTCCCAAGTTGGATCCCAGCACCAAAAAAAAAAAAGGCTCCAGTGGAAGCAAATAACTTCAGAAGTGAGGGGTTTAGTGTCAACAAAGTAAAAGTAGGAGAGTCGCTTAATATGCATCAGGCCAGGCTGGCTGAGTTCATCAGTTTTGTTTCCAACCTCCTCAGTCCCAGAGACCCAGGTCTTACTCTTTGATAGCTATATTCTTGAGCTTGGCTCTCAGTCCTGGAGAGCTGTGTCTGAGGAAAGATAAACACTTGTCATTGTAAGTCCTTTTAGTAAGTGCCAGGGATGGTAGTGGCCCAAGCTAGGGCTTGGGTTTAATCGCCCACTCTCTCATGAGCTGTGATCACTTTGGTTCTGTGCAGTGGTCCAGTTGGCGCCTGAGACACTCCTGTCTACCTAGGCATAGTTCTGTGGGGTGATGGCAGTGCAGCAAGAACCCCAGAGATGAGGGGGCCTCCTGTACTCCTGTACCATCCCTGACAGGAATTGTGTAGGGAGTCCTGGTTGTCATGATGAGAACATTGGAAGATGGTGGGAGAGAGTCAGGTGGCACCCACAAACTTTTCTTACCTGAGGCAGTGCTGTAGCCAGAGGCAGAGGTGCCTTGAGATAGGGATTATGCAAGGGACACATGTGGTCACCACCAAGCTCCCCGCTGGCATGACGCCCCCGAAGGCCTGTTCTTGTGGCTGTTTGATCAGGAAGTACCACAGAGAATAGTTGTTGCTTGAGGCCAGCCAATGTGCCCATCCTCAGGACTGGAGGTGCAGATGGAAGGACATGCAGTGTCCTGCTCAGGCGAGCGATGCAGCATTCTCACAGAGCCTGGTTACGGCCCAGCTGCAGTGCCTGTGACCAGAAGGGAAACTCGCAAAGCTGAGCAGGGAGCAAGGTCAGTCTTGGGAAATGGGCACTGGAGGCTCTGTGGTCCAGCTCCCTGGCTGGGAAGAACACTGTCCTGAGGAAGGGGAAGGCTGAAGCAGCAGGAGAGTGGGTGGAGGAGCACAGGCCAGCTGGAGCTCCTCATACTCTGCTCATGCCCTCACGTTACGTGTGCCAGCCAGTAGGCAGCTGCCCATGTGCGC